CCCGCGCCGGGTCGGTGTGGGGTGCGGGTCAGGCCGGGGCAGCGGGTTCTCGCCAGGCCGCGGCCGGCCCCGCCCTCTCCTGACCTGCCCTCACCCCGGGAGGAGCACCCCTTGCCCCCTGCAGCCGCCGCTAACTTTGTTCTTTCCCCACACAAGGCTCCACTCGGGGACCCCGGCCCCTGGGGGAGCAGCGTGAGGGCCGGCGGCGAGGGGGGTGGGTGGGGGGCGGAAGTGGCAAGACCCAGAGCAACAGGAAATGACTTAGGGAAAGTCCCAACCGCAGCCCCCCAGCCCCCGGTCAACATCCCCACCCCGCAGGCTGGGGGAGGGCCTGCCGGGGGCCCCACCGACCGACTTCCCCTTGCAGAACCCAGCGGGTGCCGCGTCTCTGTCGGGGCCACCATCACCTTGGACCAGCATGTTCCAGGCTGCGGGAGCCGCCCAGACCACCCCGTCTCACGTAGGTTACCAGCGAGGGGGGAGGGGGAGGGGAGCAGAGAGTATACTTCCCACTCTGTGTCCCCCCTCTTGAGCGCCCCTCGGATCCAGGCTGGGCCGCTCCAGGGCTGCTCCTGATCGCCCTGATCGCCCCTCTTTCAGGAAGCCAAAGGCAGCGGTGGCAGCAGCACCGTGCAACGCTCTAAGGTAGGGCCCCGAGGGTGCGTGTGGGTGGAGGAACAGGTGGGTCCCGGTCAGGCCCCTGGCTGAGTGCCCCCGCCCCCTCCTCTCCAGTCCTTCAGCCTGCGGGCCCAGGTGAAGGAGACCTGCTCAGCTTGCCAGAAGACAGTGTACCCCATGGAACGGCTGGTGGCAGACAAGCTTGTTTTCCACAACTCTTGCTTCTGCTGCAAACACTGCCACACCAAGCTCAGGTGCGCCCCCGCCCCGCCCGCCCGCCCCTGCCCGCTCCTCCAGGCCTGACCCTGCCTGACTCGTGTGTTCTGCTTCTGCAGCCTGGGCAGCTACGCGGCGCTGCATGGCGAGTTTTACTGCAAACCCCACTTTCAGCAGCTCTTTAAGAGCAAAGGCAACTACGATGAGGGGTTTGGCCGCAAACAGCACAAGGAGCTCTGGGCCCACAAGGAGGTGGACCTGGGCACCAAGACAGCCTGAGCCCCTTCTGCCCCTCCACTCCCTCCGTAGTAGAGGGCCTGGAGCTGGCCAGCGGGAAGAAGGGTGGGAAAGGGGTTGATCTGGGCTGGGAGGTGGGGCAGGGTGGGAAGGAGGCAAGGCTAGCTGAGGCCGAGTTCCAGGCACAGGGCTCTCTGCCCCAGAATTCCTTCCTTCCTTCCTCAGTGGGTGGGAATTTGGGAACCAGGACTGGGTTTGCTGGCCACCCTCCTTCCTGCTATCGTCAACCCACCCCCACCTTACCCGTGGCCCCCCGGGAGGCCAAGCCCAGCTTCCCTATCTAGGTGCCTTTTCTCCAGCAAGGAGTCCGCATGCTACCCCCCCTCAGGGTCCCAAGCTCCCTCACTGCCACCTGGGCCTTTTGTGGGCCCCAAGTCTACCCATCTACCTCTGCCCTTAGCCTGGTCCTGAGCCACCGAGACTGGGAGGAGAGCAAGAGTGCCACCTGCTGGGCATCACGGGGCCACCAAGGTGGTGGGGGAGGGGATGGGGAAGTGACAAAGCAGGGCCTGCTGCTTTGGGACTCCCATGCACCACAAAGTTAAAAGCCACCAGGCTAAAGCCTCAGTGACCAGCGGGGGAATTGTCCCCCAATCTTCTCCATTGTTTCTGTCATTCTGTTGTGACCGACCCTATTTTAAACATGTTTAAACAGATCCCTGACTCTATTGTGGCCTGATTGGGGGGAGGGGCTGTGGAAAGATGCAAAGGCATATGGTGAGGGGAAGGGGAACCCAGAACCCTCATGGTCCATGGTTGGGGGGGGGTTAGTGGGTGTCAGGAAAAACTGCTAGCCAGCTTGAGAAGATGGGGTGGTCCTTGGCCCAAGCAGGATGCTGTGCCCATCAAATTGACTTCTTTATCTGAAAACCCCACTCTGTCTCCCTGCTCACTGTCCATACATTGACACCTCTATCCTGAGGAATACAAGTAAGTATAAGCATCGATGGTGCTCAGCCTATCTGCTCTACAGGAGGATGGGACGTAGGGCAGAACCCTTTGACTAAGTCCTTATTTGGCCCCTTTTTACTAGCTGCTCCCAGGTGTCCAGTTCCTTCCTGGCCCATTGGCTCTGGAAATCTTCAATGATGGGTCCTTGCAGAGCCAGCAAGTGCTATGAAAGGTTTCAGTGACTATGGCCTTTCTTGTTCTAATTCCCTGTGTCTTCTTAGGATTTCAGGAGAGGGGAAGCCAAAGTTTTTCTCAAGTCAGGTCATCCAGGTAGAAACTGCTCCTCAGAGTCCAGGAACACAGAGGTGACTCTGGAAGCTTCCCTATACCCCACTCCTACCCAACAGAAGTCTGGGTTGTCCTGCCCCAGACCTGCTATACTGACTTCTGCAAACCATGGGATAAATAGGTGGAACAAGAGAACAAACTCTTAGAGAATTTTTCTTTTTGTGTCAGTCCTGGGGCTTGAACTCAGGGCCTGGGTGCTGTCCCTGAGCTTCTTTTGGTCAAAGCTAACACTCTTAACACTTGAGCCACAGCACTACTTTAGGCTTTTTGAGAGTACTTTATTGGTGATAAGAGTCTCACAGACTTTCCCGCCTGGGCTGGCTTTGAACCTTAATCCTCACAACTCAGCCTCCTGAGTAGCTAGGATTACAGGCATGAGCCACCAATGCCTAGCTCCGAGAGGATTTTTTGGCTTTTCAATTCAAATCTTTAGCCCTGATGGCAAATGAACCAGTGTGTCCTCAGTGTACTCGGTAAGCAGGGGTGGCAGCTAAGGCCTGGGTCCTTGAAGCACAAGAGCCCAGAGCTTCATTTGGAGTTGAACCTCAAGGAGTTCCTTGTACCAGAGGTCTGCTGGGGACAAGAACTGTCTTTCCTATTCAGTTTAAGCAAGTGGCAGGCGGGCCAGGGAAGATGCTGGAGGGATTACTTTTGACTACTGTCCTGCAATGATGAGACTAAGAGATACCTCTGGGCCATTAAGTTCCAATGATCTGGCCTCCGATGATGTTCCAGTTAGAATGGCCAATAGTGCCCTCTCAGTAGAGCATGGAAAAAGCAAGAGGGAGGGAGGGGAAAAAGGGGCCATCTCAGAGCTAACTGGTACTCAGCCACCAGAAGGGACCCCACTTCTTGGCGTCATTTCAAGTTCTATTCCAGGAGTCCAATCTTGTTGCCAAGTGAACATTTACTCCTCCACCCACAACAACCACAAGCATGGCCACAGGACCCCTCTGGTATAAATGATCCCTTTTATTGTAAGTAATGTGTGACACTGGCCTGGCTTTGCACTGCAAGCACTCGGTCAAAGTATAGTCAGATAACTATGGCTGCAGGTTCTTCTGCATGGTCCACAATTCAGACACAGAGCTGGGTGGGCTGGAGGGGTAAAAGGGTGGCAGGATGCACACTGATCCAGCCCTGGGCCTTTTGTGTGGTGTTGACCTGGGCAGATGCACCCCATGGAATGATAAGAAACTAGCAGAATGGCCTCTTCCCCACATCAAGCCCTAGAGCTGTTAGGAAACTGCTTTGAGTCCAGGACCTTGTAGAGCCCCACAACTTTTTATCTTGATGAGTTAATAAGAAACAATAAATTAAAATTAGGCAACAGCTTGGTCCTGAGGATGCTGAGCCATCATGTCCACAGTTTTTGGCACACACAAAAAAATCAGGGTGCTTTTGTTTTCTGGAGTGCAGGATTTGTTGGCTTTTTTGAAAATTTGGTTTTAAAACACATTTCCCTATGAGGTAAGACCCTGGGGGCGGGGCTCCGTGAGAGCCTGAAGCTGGGACACACAAAGCGCAGTGTCGTCTCATCTTGTCAGTGGCACCACACTCTATTTCCTCTTGGGGAATGGGCTGAGGAGTGCTACAGCCATCAGGATGGTTGTGGAGAGGCCGAGCTACCACTGGCAGCTTTGGTCGAGATGAAGGACCAGTCACCACCCTGAGCAAGGGCTGAGATGCAGGCAGGAGCAGATGCTTGGTGAACTCTCAGGCTCACCAGCCTCAGCGGGTGATCTGATAGAGGCCCTTGGGGGAGTGGGGATGGTACAAGGGCCCAGCCCCAATTGGCACTGTGCAACACACATTTCTTGTAAAACTAGCTACTTCCGTTTTTCTCTTCTCTCTTGAGGCGTCCATCACCTGTAACAGTCTAGAATTGATATATATAAAAACCATCAAATATGATCTGAGATATAAATTAACAAGTACAAGGCCTCACATTACATGATGTGAAAAGGCTAAAAAACAGCGATAGAAACTACATTCATAAAAGTGCATCGTCAACATACAACGAAGGCTTTGGCTTGTTCTAGCCCACAGGGAAGTGGGCATGGCTGGCAATGAGCTGCCTGGTGCTAGTCTCCAGCTCCCTGGAGACGCCCATTCCTGGGCATTGACTTTTTTTTCCTTTAATGACAACTCCCAAGGAAACTGGAAGTTGGGAGGGAGGAGCTCTAGCAATAGGCACATTTTGGAAGGGAGGGGCCGGAAGAAAGGACCAGCGCCCAGGCTGAGGTAAATTCGGCCGACTCTAAGCTGCTTGGAGATACTGTTTCCCTGACCCCTGTTGCCATTCTTCCTCCAGGTAGGAAAGGGGCCGAGAACTCACTGGAAGGGGCAGAGCTAAGGAAACACAGAGCTGGTGGTATAGGACAGTTGGTGGCAGCACAGGGGCTTTCTCTTCTACCAGGTGGAGTGGGCTCTGGCCAGGCAAGATCACAACTCAGACTGCCAGAGATAATCCCTCCTGATGGGCCCAGTGGAACTCTAGGCACCTAGCTGTGCCATATGCCCTTGCAATATTGTCCACCTCTGTGCACTTGGGGAGCAGATGCCAGGCAAGGAGCACAAAGGCCATCTCATCAGCTCCTTCCAATCCAGCTCAAGGCCCAGGCCCACACAAGCACTCAGAGCCCTGAGGGTACAGTCTCCAGTTGCAAAACTGGATACAGCATAAGAGTGACTCCAAGTTGTAAAACAGAGACAATTAATTGCATTGACAAAACTGGGTCTCCCCGCTCAGTAGGGGGCAGTTCCACATCTCAGACCCCTGCTTGGGGGGACAAGGTCACAGGGGCAGGCAGGGCAGGCTCCTCCTTCCCTGAATAAGGCAGTATACATTTGCTTCATTCATCTTTGGTAAAGGACAGGACTGGCAAAGTGACCTGGGGGCTCTAAGGGTGAGGGCGGGCAGCCTGGGCCCCTGCCTTCTGTTGGTTGGAGGATGTTGGGCTTTACTTTAGGCTTGTGAGGGCTCATCCAGCCCAGAGATACCATGGTGGTCTTGACACTGGGAGAAAAAACAGTAACACTCTGAATGAAAATAACACTATTCATACCCTTGCATCAGTCCTGTGCCCCAGCATCTCCAGACTTCAGTGCTGACTGCAGGGTCAGGGCACATCCCAGGGGCGGGCAGGGCCCACGGCCATCTTGCACACTGTTCCCAGCCCTGTCCCCTCCATGCTGAACATAGGATACTGGGGATCCTGGGTCTGGCAGGCTGGGGAGGGGTTCCCAGTCCTTGAAGCTACAGTAGCCATTGCATCCTGGCTCTGAGCTCTGGCAGAAGGGGTACAGATGAACACTGGCTGGACTGCAGCTCCACCATACACAGCCTTGCCTGGGAGAAGCAGCAACTTCACTGAGCCCCACAGCAGCCCCTTGCCCACACAGGAGGAGGTGGCCGGCAGCAGTGTGGCCTTGAGAGCTCAGTACACAAGCTGTGCAAAGTGGTGTGTGAGCAGCTCCTCAGCTGAAGGTCTCTGACGAGCCTCCACAAAAATGCGCCTCAGGAAGTCCCTGCCATGTTCAGAGATGTGGGAGGGCAGCTGAGGATTGGTGGGCTGGGTGGCAATCTTAAAAATGGCGGCCATAGCTTCATACTCTGCCCAAGGTGGTTTCTCTGTCAGCATCTCCACCACAGTGCAACCTAGGCTCCTGGAGAAAGAACCTCATGTCACACCTCAGCCAGTTCTGGGCTCTCACCTGCCCACAACTCACTGTGATGAAAAGAGATCACACTGAGACAGGATGGGCCAGGCTGAGAGATGACATCACAGTACTGCTTCACTGAAGATTTCCTGAGACTGGGGGAAAGAACTGCTGAGCACTGACAGAAAGATTTCAACAATATTGGATTACTTTCTTGTTGCTGCTACACCATACCATAAATGTAGTGGTACAATTACAATACAAACTTACTGTCTTACAGCGCAGCAGTCTAAAATTGGCCTCTCCCTGAAATAAAGTTAAGGCATCATAGGGATGGTGTTTGTTTTTGTTTTTTCTGGAAGCTGTTTCCTTGCTTTTCTAGCTTCTGGACATCATCTATATTTTTTCTCTTTTCTTCTCTTTTCTCTCTCTCCCTCTTTTTTTTTTAAAGTCAGTTGTGGGGCTTGAGCTAGCACTCTACCACTTTGAGCCACAGTTCCACTGTGACTTCTGGTGGTTAACTGGAGATAAAAGTCTCATGGAGCGGATGCCAGTGGTTCACACCTGTAATCCTTGCTATTCAGGAGGCTGAGATCTGAGGACCACACTTCAAAGCCAGCCCAGGGAGGAAAGTTCACGTGAGACTCTTATCTCTAATAAACTATTAGAAAACTGGAAGTGACACTGTGGATCAAGTAGTAGAGCGCTAGCCTTGAGCTGAAGAGCTGAGGGACAGCACTCAAGCCCAGAGTTCAAGCCCCACGACCAACAACAACAAAAAAAAGTCTCATGGACTTTCTAATCTGGGCTGGCTTCAAACTGTGATCCTCAGATTTCAGTCTCCTGAGTAGCTACGATAACAGGCATGAGCCACCAGTACCAGTGCCCAGCTTTTAAATGATTTTTGTGTTTTCTGGTGCTAGGGATCAAACCCATAGAGCTAAATATATGTTCTACCACTGAGCCACACCCTCAGCCACTTCTACATTTTTTTTTACCTCACTTTAGCCTGGTACTTTTTTTTTTTTTGTCAGTCATGGGGCTTGAACTCTGGGCCTGGGCGCTGTCCCTCAGCTCTTCAGCTCAAGGCGAGTGCTCTACCAATTGAGCTACAGCGCCACTTCCGGTTTTCTGGTGGTTTATTGGAGATAGGTGTCTCACGGTCTTTCCTGCCCAGGCTGGCTTTGAACCGCGATCCTCAGATCTCAGCCTCCTGAGTAGCTAGGATTACAGGCGTGAGCCACCAGCGCCCGGCTCAGCCTGGTACTTCTATTGCCACATCTCCCACTGCCCACACTGACCTCCTGCCTCCCTTATGTAAGAACCACTGTGCCCCATTTAGACAAGACTAGGATAATTTTTCCATCTCAAAGTCTTTAGTTGCAGCTACAAAGGCCAGGTTGTCATTATTTTCAGATTCTAGGGTTTAAAATGTAGACTTTTTTTTTTTTTTGTCCGGTCGTGGGGCCTGAACTCTAGGTCTGGGCACTGTCCCTCAGCTCTTCAGCTCAAGGCTAGCGCTCTACCACTTGAACCACAGTGCCACTTCCGGCTTTTTTCTATTTGCTTATGTGGTGCTGAGGAATCAAACCCAGGGCCTCAGGCATGCAAGGCAAACGCTCTACCACTGAGCCACCTTCCCAGGTCCAAACAGTTCTTTTTTTTTTTTGTCGGTCATGGGACTTGAACTCTGGGTCTGGGCGCTGTCCCTCAGTTCTTCAGCTCAAGGCTAGCACTACTACTTGAGCCACAGCACCACTTCTTTTTTTTTTTTTTAAAGTCAGTCATGGGGCTTAAACTCAGGACCTGGGTATAGTCCCTGAGCTCTGCTGCTCAATGCAAGTGCTCTACCACTTTGAGCCACAGCTCCACTTCTGATTTTCTTGTGGTTAATTGGAGATAAGAGTCTCATGGACCTTCCTTCCTGGGCTGGATTTGAACTGTGATCTTCAGATCTCAGTCTCCTGAGTAGCTAGGATTACAGGTGTGAACCACCAATGCTTGGCTAGAATATAGACATCTTTTGGGGACTGTTATTCAGCTTGACAATAACTGCCTTAGTACAGAAGTTCTCCCCACTCTTGGGTCTTTTCCACAGATAGAAAAAAGTTAAGTAGAACATTAGAATGGGCAAAGTCTGCTTTTGTTTAGTTTACAGACAAAGGCCTTTAGAGTAGATCCTGATTTTCAAACAAGTTCAGCAAATATGAGGGATTTTTTTTCCCCTCTGAGTTCCCAGCACAGTTTTTGTTATTTGGGGTTAAAACATACCCCATTTGTCCTGTGTGCTACTACATGCACCTTCCACCCACATGGAGTCTAGCCCTGGGTACTCCAGCCCACAAGAGGCAGGTTTTCTTTCTCTCTGTCATACTGCAAAGGACCTAAGATAAATTCCAACTTAGATCACCTACAGTCAGCAAATCTCAGAGCTCACCACACGTCTGCCTTCCTTCCGTAGCCCTCACCACTGATAACCTCAGGGCTCATCCAGTAGGGTGTGCCAGTGACGGAGCGCATGCCTGTTCCCGACATGCATATGGTCTGTAGGCGTTTGCTGGCTCCAAAATCCCCAAGCTTCACATTGCCAGCAGAATCTCGGAGAATATTGGCTCCTAGAACGTGAACATGTAGAGGTTACCACTTTGGATCTGCTCACATTTTCTACCATTCCCCACTCCCAGGTCATGGATGGCTGCTGGGAGGGCAGGGGCTGCCAGTGAATTAGACATTGCTGCAAAAAGCCAACAGCACTGTGAAGGGAGGCCTCCATGACCAACAGTGGCATCTCACTTCAGGGTGTTCTGAAATTGTTAACCAATCTTCACACCAGTCCCCTGTCAGGAAGGCATCTGAAGTGCCACTTTTTTGAAAGTTCAGATGGTTAAGTGGATGGCCTATCAATAATTAAATCTTGGGGCGCAACAGCACTGGTCCCTCAAGGACTGACAGTGCCCAGCCCCTCGTGGATTGGACAGGGCCTGGCCCACCTCACCTTTGATGTCCCGGTGCACAATCATGTTGCTGTGCAGGTAGGACACGCCCTCCAGGATCTGCCGTGTGTACTTGCGGGTCACACTCTCCGTCAGGGCTCCATAGGCCTTCAGCTGGTCTTTCACTGAGCCCTAGAGACCCAAGGAGTCAGAGAGATCCCCTCAGGGGCTACGTGGAGGAGGAGATGAAGCTCTTTCCAACCCCTAGTACTGTAGCAAAGAATGATCCATCCCATTTGTGAAGTGTGGCGCAGCTTGCCAGGTAGCTTGGAGAAAACCATGGAACAGTTCTTCCCTTAAGTAAATCTAGCACCCAAATCTAGCAATAGGGGCCCTCTGCTCCAGTAAAGGCTATGCTTACTAGACAAGGACCAGCCCTCAGTGTCAGCCCAGGTTAGGTCAGACCTGAGACATTTCTCACTTTGCATCCTCACTGCAGCCAACAGGTAGGGCTCTCCTGACCTAACTCCTGCCATTACTTTACCTGGCTCTCCAGAACCTCTGGAGCCTCACTCAGGAGGTCAGCACTCCCCACACCCAGCCTCAGATCAAACTCTTCCGAGAGCTTCACATGCATTCAAGGCGCACTGCCACGAAAGTCAGCTTGAAGAAGTTACAGAAGATTGACCTTCGCCCTTCTACCCCCATATTAAGATCAAGGGTCCAGAGTCAGTTTTGGAGAAATGAGGCAAAATAGATTAAAAAAAAAGGGGGGGGGCAAATGCCACGCCGACTCCAGTGGAGTCTGCTTAGCATGGGAAACCATCTATCAGACCTAAGATAGGGGCTTCAGAGACCTATCTCTGAGTTTTGGGACTTCACCGAAGTCTACCTCAGAGAATGGGACTTTACAGAAACCTATCTCCAACTTTTGGGACTTCACCGAAGTCTACCTCGGAGAATAGGGCTTCTAAGAGGCCTACTCCTAGAAAGGCTGGCAAACCCCTGGGAAGTGGCGCTGTAGCTCAAGTGGTAGAGCGCTTGCCTTGAGTTGAAGAGCTGAGCGACAATGCCCAGGCCCAGAGTTCAAGTCCCACGACCGACAAAAAAAAAAAACAACAACAACAAAAACTATATAGAGCACTCAGCACTCAGCATCCACATCCTAATGTGTGTGAGTTGTCTGTTTGCCATCTCCCCATCCTATTCCAGGTTCCTCCCCTAGGTGTCCTCCGTCGTTCCGACAGAACCCGGTCCGCGGCAGGTACCCGGTCCGCGGCAGCGCACATACCCCTGGCATGTACTCCATGAAGATGGTCAGAATCTTCTCAGCACGGTCTCGCAGGCAGCCGTAGTACTGCACAATGCGTTCATGCTGCAAGTTCTTCAGCAACTGGATCTCACACTCCAGAGCACTCACCTCCTAGGGAGGGGTCAGTGATCACCTGAGTGCCCAGGTCCCCAGGTCTGACCACATGGATCAGTGCAGCCTGCTCTCATCTAGGCCTCTCCGGGGTCTGCTTGGAATTTTCTGCTGGAAACTGGGACTCAAACTGTCTGGGCCTTGGTCACAATGCTAGACAGCTCTTGACATATAGCACTTCCAGCCTGGGGGTAGGCAGATAGGGAGGAGGGACTGTGAAAGCTGAGGTAAGGTTACAATGTATCTGTCCACCTAAATGGAGGTGGAAACCATATGACTCCTTCATTAGGAGCTAGACCAAGTGAGTGAACACTACAGTTTCTTCCTGGGTTGAAGGTATCTATCAAGAGTTGGGACAGATGGTATCCTTATGGCACTGGTCATCACATGTTAGTTTGGGTGGCTTGGGACTCTGGCATGGACTCAGTGCCCCTCATCTAGCTGCTCATTGCTCTTTGGGTCATCATCCCTTCACTCATGGGCTAGGGTGAACGGCAAGGAAGCTTGCAGGGCAACTGATAGGAAGTCAACCTGTAACACCTCCAGCCATTAGTCTGTGCAATAACAAGACAGGAATTTTGGTTGGAAGGGAAGAATTGAATTGCAGGTCAGCGTATGGGGAAGGCAGGCAGTACCTTGCTTGTCTCAGGACTGTCTGGGTCGAACTGGACCTGCTTGGAAGCAAGTTCCCGTCCTGTGTCCACATCATAGCACAAATAGACCCTGCCGAAGGCACCCTGGCCCAAGAGCTTCCCTCGGCGCCAATTGATGGGGGCACTAGGAGCTAGAGAAGAACAGTAGGAAAGTATTATGCTGTGCAAATTCTTTCTGGGAACACTCCTCATGCGCTCCAGCTGGCTCAGGCTCCCCCCTTATCCAGCACCATCCCCTCTCAATAGAGTATCTCCATCACCTCTGGATCAGGCCCAATGCCCTGGTTGATGGGACCTTAAGGTCAGAATGCTAAGAAGCCAAGGACTGGCTAAAGTCACAGTGAATTGCTCAAATACCTTACTTCCTAAGGCTCCTGAACATCTTAACATGGCAGGAATTGAGGGCATGCTCTAAACTTAAATATGGAAATACTAAATGGCTTGTCACACAACAGTCGAGTTTGGCCTATGGTCCAGAGCTGTCCACTGCTATGCCTCAGTGTTCCAGTGGCCCAGCTGAGCTCCTGGCCCTCAGCAAGTGGCAGTCCTTACACTTGGTTGGTACACTCCTCTCCTGCACAGAGAGAGTGTTCTCACTGTCTGCACTCCGCAGGCGCCCACGAGGGTCCAGGTATTGCACAGCCAGACCCATGTTCTCGCCATTTGTGCTCAGGGAACGGCTGGAAGGCACCAGGGTGAATAGGTTGCCTTGATGTCGCCGTATTCGGGGAAATGTTCTTCTACCTAAAAGAATGCAGCAGCCGGAGAAAACAAGGTTAAATGTGCAAGGCAGCCAGAAATGACACCACCAGCTCCTGCCCATCCTATCTGCCGTCCCACCAGTTTCCTGCCAGGAAGGCTGTTGTTCTAAACTACCCAAGAATCAAAACAAAAGCAGAAATTAAGAAGTAGCCTAGGTTCTGGTAGCCCTGGCCACAGCGAAGAAAGAGGGCTGATTCACATGCTCCTTGCAAGGCCAACCCACTGTTTAAGTCTTAATAGTTCTCAATAGTATGCTAATCCTAGCCCCGCTGCCGCTGTCCATCTGCTGCTGCCACAGATGAGGGAATCAGAGAGAGGAAGAGAGACAGCGCACTCCATGGACTCAAAGGCAGAATTCCCAGTGGCAGTATGTTTGTCCAATACCATCCTCCCTATCTGATTTGGCTACTATCTTTCACCTCAAATGTAGATCAAAATTTCTCAGAAAAAAAGAAAGACGCCGGGCGCTGGTGGCTCACACCTGTAATCCTAGCTTCTCAGGAGGCTGAGATCTGAGGATAGTGGTTCAAAGCCAGCCCAGGCAGGAAAGTCCGTGAAACTCTTATCTCCAATAAACCACCAGAAAACCGAAAGTGGCGCTGTAGCTCAAGTGGCAGAGCACTCGCCTTGAGCTGAAGAGCTGAGCGACAGCATTCAGGCCCAGAGTTCAAGGCCCACGACCGACAAAAAAAAAAAAAAAGAAAGAAAGAAAGAAAGAAAGAAAAGACATGGAGAATACCTAATCCCCCAATACCACCACCACCCACTGGTTTTTCCACGGCAAAGGGCTAAGCAGTCTTTCTCTAGGTAACCAGCAGAGGGCAGCATGGAGATGCACTTACCATCATTGTAGTCTTTGTGGTGCACAGACACATGATAACGCCGGGGATAGGTTCCTCCTTTGACCCCTTTGTCATAGAGCTGGGTATCACGATCTGATTAAGACAGGAGAGTTACTGGGTTCTAGGTAGGTCAATGAATAAATAAACCACATAAGCCCCAGGTCTTTGGAAGCCTTAAAACAGTAGGCCCAAACGGGTGGCTCATGCCTGTAATCCTAGCTACCCAGGAGGCTGAAATCTGAGAATTATGGTCTGAAGCCAACCCGGGTAGAAAAGTCCACTGGAGACTTTATCTCCAATTAACCACTCAAAAAAAAAAAAAAAACCTGGAAAATGGCCTTGTGGCTCAGTGGTAGAGTGCTTGCCTTGCATGCATGAGGCCTTGGGTTTGATTCTTCACAGTACCACATAAGCAGAAAAAGCCAGAAGTGGTGCTGTAGCTCAAGTGGCTGAGGGCCAACCTTGAGCTGAAGAGCTGAGGGACAGTACCCAGGCCCACAGTTCAGGCCCACAACTGACAAAACAAACAAAAACAACAACAACAAAAACAACTCAAGGACAAAGCCCAGGCCCTGAGGTCAAGCCTTACAACCAACCAAAAAAAGAAAAAGAAAAGAAACAAAAACAAAAAACCACACTGCAGGCCCCAAAGAATTACTATACAGTTCTGACTCCCCACAGCTGTCTGTGGCCCTACCCAAATAGCCCCTGCAATGCTCACTCGGGTTCTATGAACTCACCTGAGTATTCCTGTCTGTTGTCTGGGAAACTCTGGGCTCGAGACATTCGTGATTTCCGAAAGGATGGACTAGAGAAAACAAAAAGAAGTCATAAGATAGACTTCCCTGTACTTCCAGAGTAGCTGCAGGCAGAAGGCAGGACATCAGACAGTCTTCCCCTTCCAACTTCCTCCCACATACACAAGACTGGAAAGCAGAGGTGGAGTGGTCATGGGGCTTGAACTCTGCGCCTGGGCGCTGTCCTTCAGCTCTTCAGCTCAAGGCGAGTGCTCTACCACTTGAGCCACAGCGCCACTTCTGGTTTTCTAGTGGTTTATTGGAGCTAAGAGTTTCACGGATATTTCTGTCCAGGCTGGCTTTGAACTGCGATCCTCAGATCTCAGCCTCCTGAGTAGCTAGGATTCCAGGCATGAGCCACTGGCGCCCAGCTTCATTTACCCTTTATTAGTTGGAGGCTCAAGTTTCAAAGGGCCCTGAATAGTAAACCAGCCTAAACTCTACCCTGACTCTGTATCTTTTTACTTTTAGCCTTTCTTTTTATTTTATTTTGTCTGTCATGGGGCTTGAACTCTGAGGGCGCTGTCCCTCAGCTCTTCAGCTCAAGGCTAGCGCTCTACCACTTGAGCCACAGCACCACTTCCAGCTTTTTCTGCTTATGTGGTGCTGAGGAATCGAACCCAGGGCCTCGTGCATGCAAGGCAAGTACTCTACCACTAAGGTACCTTCCAAGCCCCCATTTTTAGCCTTTCTTCCTCCTTTTGTTGCAGGTAAATGTCTGCTCCAAGCAGTAGTAACAATAACAACATTATAATTTGCAAAGTGCTACTTTCTTAGTTATTTTCTTATTTTCTCATTTAATCCTAACAACTCTGTAAAGAAGAAAAGATAATAAAAATAATATAATAGCAGATGCCAATTACTGAACAGCTGCTGTGTTATTTATTATCAATCTTCATAGGAACCCTGTAAGTTAGGAATAAACATTCCAATTTATTTGTCTAAGGACACAGCTAGGAAGCAAGAAAGCCAAGTCTAGGTCTAGGACCCCGGTCTTTTCCTGCTATCATAACAGACATCTTCCTCCCAAGCTAATCGCTATGATCCCCTTTAGAGATGGGAAACTGAGGAACAAAGAAGTTAAGGAGCTTGTCTGAAGCCACTAACGTGTTTGCTGAGCTGGGATTGGGCCTAGGACTATCTTGTTCCAGGTCTGCTCTTTTTTGGATCTAAGAAAGGGACAATAGGGGCTGGGAAGGTAGCTCAGCGGTAGAGTGCATGTCTTGCAAGCATGAGGCCCTGGGTTCGATTCCTCAGCACCACATGAACAGAAAAAGCCGGAAGTGGCGCTGTGGCTCCAGTGGTAGAGCACTAGCCTTGAGCTGAAGAGCTGAGGGACAGCGCCCAGGCCCAGAGTTCAGGCCCCATGACCGGCAAAAAAAAAAAAAAGAAAGGGACAATAGATAAGCTCTCTGAACTAAAATCAAGCCAGGTGTCAAGGAAAGCAGTCCAGATGGCTGGATTTCATTCCCCAGAAGAGAATAAAGCATTGGAGGGGCGGAGGAAACACCCGAGAGTAGCAACTGGGTAAACCTAGCTGTTCTTCGTAATGGCCCTTTCTGTGACATGGAAGTGCCTTTTAAGAGGGCCACAGTCAGAAACTCTCAAAGCAGTGAGAGGGGACTGCCCTACACTTCCCAACTACTAGACCTCTTGTCTTTACTTCTTAATTCAAAGTTTAAGAGGGAGTCCAAAGCCAATTAGTTCCTACGCTGATAGAGCTCTGAGCCTGTGGCAGCATGTCCTAATACTTTTTTGTTGTTGTTTTGCCAGTCCTGGGGCTTGAACTCAGGGCTTATATCTGAGCTTTTGCTCAAGGCTAGCACTCTACCACTGGAACCACAGCAACACTTCTGGCTTTTTCCGTGTATGTGGTGTTGAGGATTCAAACCCAGGGTTTCATGCATGCTAGGCAAGCACTCTATCACGAGGCTACACGCTCCCAGCCCTCTCCTAACACTTTCACCTGTGCCTTCTTGCTCCCCTGGCTGGAGAGCAAACCCAAAACAAGGCTACATTATTCAAACTGACAAGTAACAATCAGTATACCCTATACCACACAGAGGAAAGGGGGCTTATCCGTGTTCAGGTCTATTCAGAAAGACATTATACAAATTTAGCCACAGTCACAGATAATTATACACATAAACAGTTACACTAACAACAACAATAACTCCCCTCCCCCCAAAAAACTAGCTCCCTAGCTTCTCACCACAGACAAATGTGATCAAATGTGCTTTTAAATGTAGAGAGACTGATGCCTACTCCAAATACCTTCACTAAACCAGGTGTGGTAGGATTATACATCTGCAACCCCAGCATTCAGGAAGATGAGGCAGAAGGATTATGATCTGAGGTCAGCCTGTACTACATAGTAAGTTCCAGGGTAATCTATGCTATATAGTGACACCCTGTCTCAAAAACAAAGAAACAAAGTCGGGCACTAGTAGCTCATGCCTGTAATCCTAGCTACTCAGGAGGCTGAGATCTGAGGATCATAGTTCAAAGCCAGTCTGGGCAGGAAAGCCTGTGAGACTTATCTCCAATTAACCACCAGGAAACAGGAAGCAGAGCTGTGGTGCAAAGCAGTACAGTGCTAGCCTTGAGCAGAAAATCTCAGAGACAGTGCTCAGGCCCTGAGTTCAAGCCCTGTGACTGACAAAAACCAATAAGCAAAACAACAGCAACAAAACACAGAAACACCTTGGTAGCCCCTGGGTGAATCACAGAGCCATTTGTAAAGGTCAGTACTTGTTTTCTCCCAGAGTATAAGAACAGAATTCTACACCGAGCAAGTAGTATGGTATACTAAGCAGTCAATATATTCTGTTTCCTGATTTTCATACCTCAGGTTCCTATTCCATCAGAAACACTTAGAGAAAGAAAATACAACTAAATTTATGGGTCAGAATTCAGTTTCACCCTAAAACTTCAACAATCCCTTGCTTTTCAGTCCAAATCATAACAAAGCTAAAAAGTACAAGAACATAATATATGCCAAAAGCCAAAACATATAAACTACTAAGAACAACATTACTTATAAATGAATTGCTATTTAAAGTTATTATTACATTTATTTTATGATATAACCAAAATATTCTTGTGGTGTTTGAGAAATTAAAAGGCACGTAAACTCATGTAAAGTCATGCAAACTCATTTTAGAAAATCAAAGTTTAAAAGGGCTTTCCTGTAAGCATCATGATTCAACCCTGGGCTTAAGGACATGTAGCTGAGTTGGAGACACAGATGAAGCAATTCTATCCCATCAGTTCCAAAAATGACTACTCCTTAACTCTGAAACCACCCAGAATCCCATACCTGTCTGCTGACCTGTCCAAGGATTGGCAGCTTCCTGACAAGGAATTCTCAGCGCTGCTCAGAGGATCCAGCATCTGTAAAGCAAGCCATACGATAAAACCAGTCCTAACACAAAATCCCAGCCAGATGACCCAGGCTTTATGAACTAATCAGGGCCACGCACATGGTCCTTTTTGTCAAAACATGGAAGGGTGCTTTTCCCATGCAGTACAAATAATGGTTAGTAAGGCAGGCACCAATCTCTTGCTTAGCTTCGAAGGAAAGTTTCCAGGAAGGAGAAAAATCCTTGGCTGGCATTCCAAGGAGCTCTGCCAGGAAAGCAAAGCAGAGATACTGCCTCTCTCCTTGGCATTTTCTTGGCTCATCAACATTGGCACCTGGTGCTGGAGATGATACTACCCTGTAGAAGCTTCCAGTGAATTTGGGTGGGACCTTCATGCTTCTGTTCACACTCCATAATTCATAGTTTACAGAGACAAGTATGAACTTATTTCACAGATGAACATTATAGGCTGAGAAAGGTTAGGACAAGTGCCTAAAGTTATAGGACTAGTTGGTTCTCATTCAGTGATAATCAGTATTTATTTAAATATTTATGTAAATATTATGAAAATATTTCTTTGTCCGCTAAAAAAACCCAGCTTAGCTTTAATTAATTCCCTGAAGGTCACCCCACTTTTATTTTCTCTGTATAGGGTCAGTATAGGGTCAGTGTAGGGATGGGAGAGGAGCCTATAATTTCAGAGTACAGCTGTTCCTTCATATCCATGTGGGATCAGTTCCAGAATTCCTGCAGATATCAAAATCTGTGCATGCTGAAATCCCTTTTATAAGATAGTACAGTATTTGCATATAATCCACACATACCCTTCCTTTTTTTTTTTTTTTTTCGGTCATGGGGCTTGAACTCTGGGCTTGGGCGCTGTCCCTGTGCTCTTCAGCTCAAGGCGAGTGCTCTACCACTTGAGCCATAGCGCCACTTCCATTTTTCCAGTGGTTTATTGGAGAGAAGAGTCTCATGGACTTTCCTGCCGAGGCTGGCTTTGAACCATGATCCTCAGATCTCAGCCTCCTGAGTGGCTAGGATTACAGGCATGAGCCACTGGCACCCGGCTCCTCCCATGTTTTTTAAATCACTATTTGATTACTCATTATACCTAATATAAAACTGCGATGTAAATAGCTGTTGAATCGTATTGTTTAGGAAATGACAAGAAAAAATAATCTGTACAGGTTCAGTACATTTTTTTCCTGAATATTTTTATACATACTTGGTTGAAGCTATAAACTTGGGGCCATGGACACAGAAGGCCAACTATATTCATTATCTGAGCTCCAAAGCAAAGTATTAGAATTACAAAAAAAAAAATTCACTAACATAAAATTTCATATAGGGTCCAAGCCAAATATCTTTTTCCATTTAATACCATAGTCCATCCCCACCCCAATTTCAAATGCTTTAGATCATACTATCATATAGGTTTAAAAAAAATACAACAACAAAAAAAGAAAAAACAAGCCAGGTGCTGGTAACTCATACCTATAATTCTATTGACTCAAGAGTCTGGATTGCAGTTCAAGGCCAGCCAGGGCAGGAAAGTCTCTGAGATTCTTTTTTTTTTTTTTGGTCGGTTGTGGGGCTTGAACTCTGGGCTTGGACGCTGTCCCTCAGCTCTTCAGCTCAAGGCGAGTGCTCTACCATTTGAACCACAGCACTACTTTCTGAGACTTTTTTTTTGGGGGGGTCCGGTCATGGGGCCTGAACTCTGGGCCTGGGTACTGTCCCTCAGCTCTTCAGCTCAAGGCTAGAGCTCTACCACTTGAGCCACAGCGCCACTTCTGGCTTTTTTAAATTTTTGCTTATGTGGTGCTGGGAAATCGAACCCAGGGCCTCATGCATGCAAGGCAAGCACTCTACCACTGAGCCACCCTCCCAGCCCTTTCTGAGCCTCTTATCTCCAATAAACTACTTAGAAAGCATTGAAAGTGGTGCTATGGCTTAAGTGATAAGAGCACTAGCCTTGAGCACAGAGATTCTCAGAGTTAGAGACCAGGCTTAGAGTTCAAGCCCCGGGCAAGCAAAAAAAAAAAAAAAAAAAAAAAAGGCCCCCAAACCAACCTTGGCCAATCAAGGTAAATTAATTGCAAAGTAACATTATTAATCTAGAATATCTAGAATACAAGAAATCGCAAAGTAGATGAAATCACCATGAGAAAAAATTGCTCTCAATCCATCAAGTACATACTTGGCAATGTTAGATCAGTTGACAGAAACAAGAATATGGATGAGTGCAATAATACAGCAGGTGTGATGATGGGAGAATACCAAAGGCTCAAGGGAGGCCTTAGGAAAAGCTGCCAAATCCCATGGATGCTTTTGCAAAACATGACCCTCATGAGAGTGCTGCAGAAATCAAAGGGGAAGTAAAGGAAGTGACACTGTGCTGGCAAAATTTCTGTCAGAAAATTAAGCCAACAAAATTAACCTGAATCATGATTTGTTCATTCTAAAAATTAGCAAATACATGCAACTATTACCTAAATCTGATTAAAGAAAAACAAATAAACTTATCTTAGTTTCACTTTTCAAGAAAGTCCCAAAGGAATATTCTTTCATGATATACTATGCTATTTTGGTCCCTTTCAAGTGGATATTTTTTTCCATTTTGGCAGTACTAAGGTTTTAACTCAGGACCTCATATTTGTTTGGCTTGCTTGCTTAGCTTACTTCCAGCTTAGATTTTTTACTGGTTAGTTGGAAATGAAGTCTCACAGACATTTTTGCCCAGGCTAGCTTTGAACCACAATCCTCTGGATCTCAACCTCCTGAATAGCCAGTATTACAGGTACCCAGTCACCAAGCTTCTGAAATGGACCTATTTTGAATGGCGTGTTTGCAGGAGTAATACTCTTCAACTAGGCAGGTGAATTAAAAATTGGGGAGCCAGGCGCCGGTGGCTAATGCCTATAATCCTAGCTACTCAGGAGGCTGAAATCATATCTTGGTGCCCACCCCATACTCACACACTGCTCATTGGTCTCTGGGATGAATTCTCCCTCACTGTTGATGCTGGTGTAGGATCCCTGTCGGGCAATGTGCTGCTGTCGCTCAGGCACATAGCCAGGGGGAGGTGAGCTTCGACCAGGGTTCTGGGAGCCTACAACACAAAAACCAGGCTTTTAACAACAGAATCCAGAACATGTGGCCCAATAGGAGCAGGTATGGAGCCAGATGTAGATACTAGCCCTAAAAGTCATAGTTACAACTCAGATGGGTCCTGCACCAAAATCTTGCATGTTCCAGAGCTTCCTGAGGCCAACAAAGTCCTTTCCCAAAAGAAAGGCTCCAGTGACAGAGCAAGCAGTAGAGCATAAATGACCAAGAATGCTGGCACAAAATATAAACCAGAATAAATCCTGTAATAATAATCTGACAGACCAGTTTTTTAATTTTTATTTTTGGTATTGGTACTGGAGCTTGAACTCAGTGTCTCATGCTTTTGCTTAGCTTTTTCACTCGAGGCTGGTGCTCTACCACTTGAGCCATAAAGCACCACTTCCAGCATCTGACTGGTTAGTTGGAATCTTATGCCCAGACTGGCTTCAAACGGTGACCCTCAGATCTTCTGAGTAACTAGGAATATAGGGGTGAGCCTCTGGTGCCTGGCATTAAAAAAATATATACACACATATATATAAATATATTTATATTTATATATAATGTTAGTTATCTTCATCTTAGAGGACCAATGTTCTTCCTATCCTAGAAAAATGATAAATATAGTAATGCTCCTATATCCTTGGGAAATATGCTCTAAGACCTCCTTAGATGCCTAAATTCCAGGTAGCAGTAAACCTTATATAAATCATGATAAGAAATATAAGAGATGAGCCAGCCAGCGCTAGCAGCTCACATCTGTAATCCTACACAGGAGACTGAGATCTGAGGATCATGGTTCAAAACCAGCCCAGGTATGAAAGCCCCGTGAGACTCTTATCTCCAATTAACTCAAATGAGGTATATTTTATTTTTTTATTTTTAAAATTTTTTATTGTAAAGATACTTTACAGAAGGTTACAGTTACATGAGTAAGGTAATGAGTACACTTCCTATTGAGTATTGTTAACCCCTCCATTGTTTTCCCCCTACTATCCCTTCCCTCCCTACCTTCCCCGAGGTTCTTTTTTTTTTTTAATTATGATTAAGTGATTACATAATTTCCCAAATTTCACAGTATTGTGGAATAATGATGCTCATTTAAAGTCACAAGCTCATTCTAACTTTCCTGGAGCAAATTGTCTATCACGGTCTATAACATATAACGGTGTACCACATATACACCATACATGTGATCAGCAGCATGGGGATATTTAGTAGTGGTTCGACCAAATGAGTGGAAGTTCTTTGTTTCTTAAGTCCTGTTAATTTTGTCGTATCACCTAACATTTTGGATTTAACATCCACTTATCAGGGAGACCATGTACCGTTTGTCTCTTTGCTCTTGGCTTACCTCACTCAACATGATTTCTTCTAGCTCCATCCATTTCCCTGCAAATGCCATTATTTTGTCATTTCTAATGGCTGCATAATATTCCATTGTGTATAGATACCACAATTTTTGGATCCATTTATCTGTGGTGGGGCATCTGGGTTGTTTCCATATCCTAGCTATTGTGAACAGTGCTGCAATGAACATGGAGGTGCATGTGTCCTGTTGTTCAGGGTAGATGTCTAGAAGTGGTATGACTGGGTCGTAAGGGAGGTCAATCTTTAGCTTTCTAAGGACCCTCCAGACTGCTTTCCAAAGTGGTTGTATAAGTGTATATTCCCACCAGCAGTGTAATAGGGTTCCTCTTTCTCCACATCCCCTCCAGCATTTGTCGTTGGCTGATTTGTGGATGTGGGACATTCTGACTGGGGTAAGGTGGTATCTCAGGGTTGTCTTTATTTGCATTTATGAGGTACATTTTAAACTGATAAATTGGGAATGGGAAGGTGGCTTAGTGGTAGAGTGCTTGCCTTGCATGCATGAGGCCCTGGGTTTGATTCCTCAGCACCACATAAGCAGAAAAAGCCAGAAGTGGAGTTGTGGCTCAAATGGTAGAGCACTAGCCTTGAGCTGAAGAGCTGAGGGACAGAGCCCAGGCCCAGAGTTCAGGCCCCATGACGGGCAAAAAAATAAAATAAAAAATAAAAAAATAAAAATAAATAAATAAACTGATGAATTGATTGTATCTGGATTTCTCCAGTTACTATTTCCTGACTGAACCAGAAATGGTAGCTTGTGCTTGTAATTCTAACTACTTGGGAGGCTGTGACATGAAGATTGCATAAGCCCAGTTTGGGGCCAGCCTGGATAACACAGTGTGACACTGTCTTTTAAAAAACTCTATAAGGGGCTGGGAAGGTGGCTCAGTGGTAGAGCGCTTGCCTTGCATGCCTGAGGCCCTGGGTTCCATTCCTCAACACCACATAAGCAAAAAGGAAAAAAAAAAGCCGGAAGTGGCGCTGTGGCTCAGTGGTAGAGCACTAGCCTTGAGCTGAAGAGCTGAGGGACAGCGCCCAGGCCCAGAGTTCAGGCCC